CAGCAAGCGGCAAAATCGAGAAAGCGTACAATATGTCCGTCGTTTCATTATGAAAATATTATTTATTGCAATAAATATTAGGAAAATAAACGAAGAATGGCTTCGGATAAGGTACGAATGTTTGTAAATTAGATCATTTTATACTTTACACTTTACTTTTTCAAATTTGTGATAAAGTATAAAATGATCTAATTTACGAACATGTATCCGTACCTTATCCGAAGCCATTTTTCGTTTATTTTCCTAATATTTATTGGAATAAATAATATTTTCATAATGAAACGACGGACATATTGTACGCTTTCTCGATTTTGCCGCTTGCTGTTTGCTGTTCGTTCGGTTCAACTTCAACGAACTGCGGCAAAATGTATTTTGCGCAGGAAGTGCGTCGTCTAGCTTACATAAAATTCTTAACCAATAGTAACGAATTGCTGCTGCAGCGTGCTGCGCATGAAAAAGCACCTTAAAATACACAATAATTATTAGAATAATAGTTAACGTACGTACCTCTTTGTCTTTATGCACTCTGCTTTTATTAAGTTCATACGAAAATTCGCAAAATTATTCCTCCCTCACGATCCGTTCAACTCTATCTGATTACCTCCTGAGACAGGCACCAAAATCCGATTAAGCTAGGGAGTTTTTTGAAATGCACTAATTGGGTGCATTCAGTACTACAATTGCTCACTGAGCGCTCAGTGAGCGCTAGGGACCCTCACGTAAGGGATCAGGGGCACAGTATAACCAGTAACGACAGTAAAGCGGGGAGCACAGACTTTTGCATAACGCATAAAGCATGTGCATAAGGAATTTCATTGGTCCATTTTCTTATGCATGAGTCAGTGGACCAATCAAATTCTTTATGTATATGGTTTATGCGTTATGCAAAAGTCTGTGCTCCCCGCTTAAGCGTCGGTACCTTTGATGTTGAGGTTTACGAAACGTCACGTGACCTACAGCCATATCCTTAATTGGAAAAAGCGCCAAATTTCAAATAATAGATATCGTAAAATTAAAAATATTCAAAGTAAAATATTAATATTTTAAAAAATAACACACTACAAAAAATAATAAATATTTTTGAGATTTATTTGTTATTATATTTTATTAATTACTTATGTAACGTTATAAAATTATAAACAGTGTGATAAAACATACTTAAAAAATAAAATTTCATATAAAATAAATTGCGTATTTTATATACATATGTGGTGAGTCAAAAAAAATAAAAAATTCTCTTATTATTTACTTCAAAATATGGTCGTTCGGTAGTAACGCCTAATTTTTCTGACATTTGTACAAAA